TGTGGACCCAGAAATGTCATATTTTCAGAGATCCTTTATGGAACCAAAAAAGGAAAATCATTAAAAATAAGGACACCTACACTGAAGAAGACCTCTGACTGTGGTGGGAGGTGCTGCTAGTAATAGGATGGAGGTGAGTGTCAGGATGATACCTTTGTGATGATCTGAAAATTGAAGTGTGCTCTGTTTTTCTGGGCAAGCATGAATGTGCCCAAAACTTAATTATGTTTTATAGAGAAGGAAGATAAGAGAGTTAAAATGAAATGTCATAGTATCAACTGCTGGCTGTCTACGTAAGTGGAAAACTTCTGCCTGTTGCAGAAGAAGTAGTTTTGTTGCACTTCCAAGAATTCTGGTATTATTTGGCCTTCTCCGAGTGCATATGTTATGGCTGTGATTAAGAGGTGATGATGATTAGACTTTCTGATCATCTGAATGTGTTTAAGTTCCCATGGTTTCATGGAAGCTTGGGGCAATCCTGCCAAGAGCATGCCCAGTGTAACTGTACAGGAAGTGTTACATTCATAATGGATTACTATTAATTATTATTCATATGTATTATCATTATAATAAAATGTTCTCCTCTCTTCATTTTTAATCTATTTCTTTTCTTTTCAGGTGCATATTCTTTTGAGAAAGGATATTATAAGTTCTGTTTTTCTTGTTTGTTGCAGCGGATTCGAGAACTAGAAGATAAAATAGAACTTCAAAAGCGGCAACTCAAAGAAATTGAGGAGAAGGTAAATAAAAGTCCTTGGCAATGCTGGTGGACTTTCTTCCATACTAATTTATTTCTTCACTGCTAGATTGAAGTTACTCATACTTATTTTAATATTGAGAGACCTATTTCAATACAAGAAATATCAAACTTAATTTCTAATGACTTCTGCGCTAAATGAAACTTTGTCTCTATTCTGCTCAAAATTATTTGCTAGCTGTGTTTTCCACCAAGTATGGAAAGGAAATGAGGGATCTGGAAGAACACTGCACAAGAAGGGAAGGAATTGCTGTGAATCAAGAAACCATAAACAGATTTGTCTATATTTGAAAGAACTGGTTATCCCAACCTTGTTCTTCAGATAATGCCCCTTTGCAAAGCTCTCGTGCGCACGCTCTCTCTCTCTCTCAAAAAAAAAAAAAGTTAATGAGGCACATGTGATGAATACTGCAAATCGAAAATGTCTCTTACTTTAAAACGGGAACAAACTTCAAATTAATATCCTGAATACAAATATTCTCCAGTTTTGAAGATGTTCAGATTGAGCCTTAAGGCAACAAAAATGTTTAAATCACTGGGGCCCCAGTCCGGAGATGTCAGCAAGTTCCTTGACTGTGGACTTTAATGTTTCCCAGTTTTGTGGAGGTTAGGCTGTCCTGCAGGGCACAAGCTGACAGTGAGGCTTTCTCCGTGCTCTAGTGACATATTTTAGTTGCTTTTTCTAAACCAGTGGAAGAGGTCGGTGGGGTTTTGCTGGGCTGTGAGAGGGTTTGGGGATGGGGGAAGGCTTTCTTCTCACCGCTCCTTCAGCTACTCTCAGGATGTGGCGCTCCTGCCTGCATGATCCCTTGGGGGTATTGCACGTTTATGCAGCAGCTACTCCAGTCCCCTCAGCAGCTTCCTTGGCCCTTCCTGCCCCCATGGTAGTTGTCTCCTCTGCAATACCCTTCCTACACTTTTTGAACCATGGTATCTAGTTGATCTTGAGGATAAGCTAGAGAGCTCTGAGGAGCTGGGCTTTCCGCACCCTGGCTGTGGCTAGCATGTCAGCAAGGCTGAGCAGTGATCTGTGTTCCCACTATCTGGAAACACAGGCAGCATCCACCAGCAGAAGGCTCTTTTGCTGCCCTTGCCCTTTCTGCCCTGGGCCACTGCTGTACCTGAAGCCGTTCCTGCCTAGCAATTGGTAATGTCTAAGATATTGCACTTAATTGGTAATGTCTAAGATACTGCACTGCTCAAGGTAAAGAAACCTTGAGGTGTAGGTGATAGGTCTCTGACATGTTATCTATTGGCAAGTACTGTGTTTTATCTGCTCTCCAATCCAAGTACCACCTATTCTACAACAGCAATCTCTCTAATTTTACTATTGTCAAAAATGTGTTGTCAGTCCACTGCCATGATAGTTTACAGCGCAGATAGTGGATTAGCCAAGTTGCGAAATTGAGCTAATGTTGACAATGGAAGTTGAAATGATCTATGCTGGTTAGTCAGTGCAATGGATGGAGAAAAGTACTGGAAAAGAAACAGCTTAACCACAGCCTCAGCAGAAAGCTGGTACTGAATTAAAATGGTTAATGTTTTCTTTACCTTAATGTTACATTAGCAGCAAACTTCTCAAGGCTTCATCATTTTTTGACATCCTTCTTCCCCTAGATGAGTGGAGGGCTTTCTTCTGCCTGGTATAAAACTAAGTTGCTCTTGTTAATAATTTGCTGACTTTGTGTTCTTATGGTTCTCATTAGCTGTCACCCCCCGAATGCTGTGCCTGTGACTGCCTGCTTAGCCTATCTAATGCCTTTGCCTATATGTTTGTACACGCGCTATATTACATTTAAATTTTTTGCCTTGACATTAAAGCTCATTATGAATTTGACTGCCCTGCAGGGAAGAGCATGTTGTCCGAGGATCAGTGAATGGCATAGTTCTCCTTCATTGTTCTTTTGAAGATTTAGCATGTCTGTGGCTGCAGACTGATATCTCTGTGCTGCTAACATTGAGCACAATGAGTTTCTTGTGGAGGGAAGACTTACACTTTGGAGGAATGGAAGTTTTTGTAGCTGAGCCCTGTTGTTGGGTGCAGCTAAGGGCAATGCATCATATAGTGTCATGAGTATGGCTTTTTATTTTCCTTTATGAATGAATTCAATTTTTACAATTTGTGTGAAATTCTACCAAACCAGAAAATAAGAATGGCAGCATTTTGCCCACTTTTAGATTCTTCAGCCAGCAATGCTACTTCCAAGGCTATATACGATAATTATGTAGAATGGCAGCTTTGTTCTACCAGCTGATGTGTGAGGAACAAGTGTCGTTTAAGCCCATGTCATACTTTTATAATTGATTCTCTACACTTCAAGTTCCATTTAGTTTGTGCCCTTGGCTTGGTAAGTCTTGTTTCAGGAAAGCGTTTAGGCATGTAATTACAAGTACGTGCTTAACTAAGTCATATAACCAGGCCTATTGTTTCTGGAATTTACATAATCCTCAAATTTTACCACTTGTATAACTGCCCTTAAATATTGAATTTTGGATCATGTGACTTCGTTTCAGAGAAAGATTGGTATACTGTATCTCTCTTTCAGATCAACTCAATTAATATTCGTGTAAGATACTACTGTAAAATAATGTCATTGAATTTCATATTGCAGATCTTACATCTTTTTTCTTTTCTTTTTTTCCTCATTTTCTTTTGATCTTATTTTATAGTTTTTGTTCCTTTTTTTGTTTTTTTCACTAGCATTCATTCTGTGGCCTTGATGACACAACTGAGCCAAGAAGTGTGGTTGGTATTCTTTATATTTCTTTGTACTCAATTTTTAACTCTTAGATTTTGGCATGTTTTGAGAATCGTCTTCATAAGGCCCTGAAACCATGGGTAAGGGTATAGGGTTTTGCTAACATAGAGTAAGACCAGCTATAAAATAAAGCCTGGATCGTTAAGCCACCTTCCTAGACTTCTGCAGAAGGTCATCAGGTTCCCAGCTAGAAATGACTTTGCATTCTTGGATACTAACTGCCTTAAATGACATGAGTGTCTCTCAGTTCTGCAGAGCAGGTACATTTGGTCTAAAACTTCAGGTATTGCTGTTTTTTAAAAAGTCCTGTAAGCACCACGACTCAACGCAAAATGGCTACTCAATTCTCACATTTCCAGGAGCACACATCATATTGAGGTGTGAATGTGGGGGGCGAGTTCCCTTAATTCATCTTGCCACAGGTAAATCTGTCTCTGATTAACGTAACATAACAAAGCCCATGTTAAAAGACTTAAATATAGTTACTTGTTAATTGAACTCTTGCCTATTGTTGATTATTAAAAGGCAGACTGGGTGGTTATCGATGGTAACTTTGATCTTGTTATTTTGAAGACAGCATCCAACTTTTAGGAAAAGATTGTGGTGTCTGTGCCCTTAGGGCTGGATGCCAACACTTATTTCTAAATAAATGTTATCAGTCTAAAGCTGAGCAGGCTTTTCTTTTCTTTTTTTTTTTTCTGCAGGATATTAAAAGAGCCTATGGAGTGAACAGCTGAGTCCACATGCAAAAATAGAAAATATTTATTTGAGCAGCTTTAAATTGGTGCATTTTTTCTTAAAACAGCTTGCATAATACTTCAAGCTGCAAGATATTTGAATTTAAAATTAGAGATTTTTTTAAAGATGTAGCTTCAGGCTGGAATGATTTGATAATCAAATAAGGACCAGCACCTCATAAACACTGAAAAAATTCAAAGCGGAATTTACACTCGCACACCAATCAAACACTGGAAAAAAAAATTTCAAGTGCAATTACTAGCTGCTATGTGAACTATTACCTACCAAATGGTTTTATTACAGTACTGAGATCTTTGTCTCCATACTGCATGCTTTCAACAAATGTGGTTTGCATTTCACCCAGGAAACACAGAACCTCCTTTTTAATATCTATTTTAAAAGCTAAGTGTTTGACAATAAATTCTCTGTAGTAAATAGCTGACAAGGAAAAAAAAAACTGTTCAAAGTTGGAACACACAGAGGTTTAGAATCCCACAGTGATAAAATTCATATTAAATATGTAAGTTGGAAATTCACAGACAAAGGAGAGAGAGATTTTGGCTGTATAGCAAGGGAGGATGATAGATTGGATTAAGCAAGCTTTGAAGTGGCTAGGAGCTGCGCTGGAGAATGGCATTTTGAATGTCTTTTGAAAATTAAGGCAATAACTTTTAAAAGTGTCATTGGGAGAATGAAAGATCCAGACATGGACTGAAAGGTCAGGAAAACAGAGTGCATGATGCACCATGGTCAGTTATCTCTTCAAGAAGAAAGAGGGGCTTGAAGGTACAGAAATCATTGTGTAGAAAAATGTGATGAGCAGAGAAATATTTGGAAAGGAAATATGGAGGAGAAGATGGTATCCTCCCAAGTGAAATAAAAGAACATTGACATTAGCCACCAAGAAGTAAATCTGGCACAATCTCGCCAAGGAGAGGCACATGAGCACAGTCATGGACATTGACCACCTGAACTACAAGGTGAATTTTGGGTGAAGCAAAGTGAAAGTGAAAGTGAAAGTGAAAAGAGTTGTTTAAGATAGAGAATGGTTAGTAAAATCAACAAAGATGAGGCTTTTTCCTTCCAAAGAGGGAAAAGTAAGTCATTGTTTCAGAAGTGGAAAGACAAAATGAAGAAATAGGTATTTTTTATTATTTGTAGCATGCAGGGGAAAGATGAAGATAACAGTAGCACAATATTTAAATATAACTTTCTTCTCCCTAGAGTTTTCTTGAAAATCATCTTTGTATTAAAAGGGCTATGTAGAGAACTACAGAGACACAAGTCCAATCCTTTGGAAACACTGAATTTCAACTTTAATATACAGTGGAATAAGAAAGTTATGATAATACATCAGATAAAGTGGAAAATATAATTGAAAAAAAACACAGGGCAAAGAACAATCAAGACAGCACAAAGAAAGCTGCAGAAAAGATCTGTCATAGTAACTGGATATCTCACTGTTGGAGGTGCAGAAATCAGTCTCAAAAGATGCTGGTTCTCTCAAATAATTTTTAGGCTGTGAAGTATGATCAGAGATGTACCCTTCACGAAGAATCACTGGGCAAGATCATCATCTGCTGAAGGAGCTGAGGCAGACCACAAGACTAAGTCAGTCATATGCAGCAAACTATGGCTCATGTGAGCGTCTGAATAACACTGTTTCCTGACACAAAGCACAATTTAAATCAGAAACTATCAAGCAAGTCACAAGGATCATGCAAAAGGATCATGCAAAAGAAAAGAATGTGCTGCTCACAAAATGTTATTCAAAAGGAGTGAGCATTTGGTGAATGTATTTTTAAATAGAGATTTTTCATGTTTTATTTAAAGCTTTTGGCAGTGTGATGACAGAATGTGGAAAATGAGGTCTTTATTGCAAAAAGAGCTTTGGCATTAGTCTGAAAAGAAAGACCAAAGATAGAGTTTTGGATAGCCAAACCAGGTGCTGGTGAAGGAACAGAAACTGGAAAATGTGGTTTGCATGGCAAAGAAACAGACACTCTTCCTTCTCGTGGACGTAGTTTTGCTTATCATTGGAAATGAAACTATAAGCACAAACACAGAATGATCATTCAGCAAAGAGCTGCAATGGTAAATGCCCTGCAAAGACAGGAGAGGGTCTTGTTACAAAGGTATGAATAGTTTTGTCTTCTTATTTTTCATGTGTTTTGTTACATTGTAGTTCACATATGATGGTTTTCTCAAAGAAACAGGCTGATTCTGGGGAAATTTTCTATGAGATTCATAATGCTTTTGTTCTGTGTTGGGACAGCAAGATTTGCAGCTTTTGAAAACTGAATATTTCACTCTAATCTTACTAACCATTGCATGCTGGTATTTGTTATAGAACTGAGAACAGTTATCACCTGTTAACTGACTATATTCAATCTGTGCAAGATGTTGGGCCTGATTTTCACTTTCTGTGACACAGGTTTTAAATTATCTCTCCCAGCTGTGTAAGCAAAGACAGAAACAAGAAGATTCTGATTTTTGAGATCAGTCGTAACAGTTACAGTGCTGCCAAACATTTATTTTTCTTGTCTTGAACTGCAGAAGATTGAGTGATCTAACTTCTGTTGGACTGAACCTCTAGTAAGGAGAAGAGCCTTGATTTTGTTTAAATATATAACATCCATGTAAATTGTTTCCTTGTAAATACATTAATTGTGGCAGTGGACTAAGACCTCCTTAACCAATAATTTTAGAATACCGTTTTAGATTAATCTTCCTTATCTAAGTGCCCTTACCTAAGGGAAGCCTTTTCTCGGTCAGGTATGTCTGCAAAGTTTGTAATATTTGAAAACAAATACCTTGTCAACTAGGTATTATTTCTGAATTAATTTTTCCAATTTTATGAGAGCATTGTTTGATTTTTGTGATCAGGGTGTCTCATATGCTAAGCGAATGTCCGAATTCTGGTCTTAAACTGACTTATATTTGCTGGTTAGATTGCATATTACAGAGATGGGTTTGATCCCCCAAAGTGTTAAACATTGGTCTACAGCCAACAAAATATAGAGCCTGATTTATTTGAATACAGGAAGAATCCCATGAAAGATGCTGGGACCCTTCATGTGTTTAAAATGTTGCATAAGTGCTTTCCTGGTTTTATGCGGAAGTACTTTTCAGGATAAAGCCCAGAGGTTTATGGGATTGCAGGGATCTGTTGAGATCTACTTCATAAGTTGTTGTATTAACGTGTATGATGACATATGAATCACTTTTATCATAACATTCTGCGTTTAAAAATTCCTTTTGGGTATGGCTTCATGGTGAAACGAGTTTTAAGTAAAATATTTAATTGAGAATTCCAAAATACCAGTTAAATATATTGAATAGTTCTATGAAATAGTCATAGATTGTCTTTTGAACTAGGAAACATCCCTTTTTATTTTTATTTCTCAAAACAATATAAAATGTGATATAATTTAGCCAAAAGAAGTTGATTTTTCTGTGATAAAGGTACAGTTTCATTAACTCCTCTATTTAGTAGAAAACTATCCCCTTTTCAAAAGTTTGATACCTAATTCCTTCATGAACTTGTCTAATTGTATCCTTTATAGGGATCTCATGTTGTAAATGGAGATTCCTTTCATCCATGCTAAACTACTTTTTGGCTAATGAAATGAGACTCTTACATGAATAATTAATGTGTTTGGTATCAAGAAAGGTTGCTCATTTGATCATCAGAGAGGCTAAGATAACATGCTTCAACGGCAATACATTGAGAACTTATTTCTGTTTTAACATCATGGATCCTTCATCTGAGAGAGAAAAAGAATTTTGCTACTGTATTAAAATGTCCAGTAATGAAGGATTTGATATTCTGAATTTCAATGTTAAAATTGATACTTCTTGGATTTTCCAGGAATTAGAAGATGCAAGTGTGCGCGACGGAGATGTAAACAGTGCTGAAGCAGAGAATTTGAACCTCAGAATAAGAGAGCTGGAAGAGTCGGAGCAAAAACTGAAAAATGTTTTAGATGACTACAAGGAATCAGATTCTGCACTAAGAAATAGGTAAGTGTAGGGTTGTTTGTGTTCAAAATTTCTGCAATATGGCAGACATACTCTTCCCTTTGCCTCTGTACTGGATGTCAAAGCGACCTGCACAGAACTAGCAAAAAGAAAGATTCAATGGGTTTTTAGGGTGACCCATGAGATAACTTACAAGTGTTCCATGTAGCTGTCAAAACAGAAATACAATATTCTGATCTTTGTTTTTATTAGTTAAATGAGATTTACAGCATGATCTAAAATCTAGTAGCACATAACCAGGCAGCTTTCTCGTAATGTTTCATCCATAAATATTCATAACATGTAAATTCTGCTTGTAAAATAGATCACTTTTCTTTTAAGTTAAGCATTAATTCTGGAATAAGATACAATTCTCTTTAAATTTGGCGTTTTGTATTGCACAGAAGTCTTGATTTAAGAAAGCGGCATATAGTTTAGTATGTTGATCCTAAACATTATAAAAACTGAAGGTACCATTAGGCATTAATTATACAGTTGAATAGAATAACAAGACCAAGTTTTTGATGCTGAAGGATAGCACTATTCTAAACAAAGTTAAATAGATAAAAGGCTAGGGAATATAAGTGTCATTCACAAATAACTGTTTTCATGTGAGATTTTTGAATGAACGAAGTGATGAACGGAGCCTTGCTGAGTGCTGGGATGGGGGTAGCAGGAGAGTTTGGCAGGTAAGGACAATGAGGCAGAGTTAGAAGGTGGAAATGAGAAAAGTATACCATTGGGAGATTACTGAAGGTTGAACAAAGAAATCCAAGGAACAAGATATGGAAGAGCATAACCTTGGAGTGCAGAAGGGGGAATGTGTATCTCTCAGATGAGAAAAGAGGAGGCTGTAGTACCTGCAACAGGAGGTAAAAGACAGGAAAACATTTTTTGCTTCGCAAGAAGAGCATATTTTGGGATTCAAAAATGTTTAAACCATTGAGAAGATTTTGATGCGCTGGGTGAAAAGAGAAAGAAAACCCTAAGGTGGGTCCCATGAGATTGTCTGAGATATTCCTTGTATATAGAGGAACAACATCACATCATACCATAGTTGGCTACTGTTTTAACAGCAACAAGCAAAGAGAACGTGTATTTTGTTAAATTCCAGCTTTATGGAAGAAATCAGTACAGACATGCATTATAGGTTTCAGCATCCACTGTGAGGTATGTTACAGGTATGATACCTGCTGTTAGGTCAGCAAAACACATAGTGGTTAAGCTGTAAGGTTAGTTTTGGTAGGAAGCATTCACTGTCATTGTAAAATTTGAACTTGCTAACCATGAGCCTAGCAAACTCCTATGATCAGATACATGTAGAGAACAAAGATGTGGTTATCTTTATGATAAATTATTACTTCATATAACATGCCAAGCTTCAGTGAACCCTCATCTTATGGCTTTCCTATTAAGCACCTTTTCTGTGTTCATCTCCGTATCAGAGAGAGAATGAGCATAGATATTGTCTTTAAAAGCTTTGAGAGTTTCCAATATAGTGTGCAAAACCCGGTCAACTCTTCTTATTCATTAACCAGCGATCTATGATTTGTTACTATTTTATTGTTGGGAGAAAAATGAAAAAATAAAGATAAATCTATACATCGCTGATGAGTGCTTATCTATCTGGAACCATACTGTGCAGAATTAACTCAGTAAATATCTTCATTCTCAATATCACAGAGTGAAAGAGCTGGAACTGTCACACAAAACACTTCTGGCGACGACTGACCAATTAAACCTGAAGATGCACCAGGTTGAAAATGCAAATATGCGAGTTAAAGGGCGACTGCGAGACATTCAGGAGGAGCTGATGAACTTGGTGAGAAGGATATTGTTTAAAATTACCTAGTTTAGCTTCTCTTTATGGTAATAACTTATAAGTCAATCTCATCTCCAGTAACCAGCCTGTTTTTAGGCAATAAATCATCTTAGGCTTTCTGTTTTTGGAAAACCAGAGGACTCGGAAGACCTTTTGTTTTTTTGCTCCACTTTCTGTTTCTGTAATGATTTTCACTATTATATCCCTCTTCTAGGCCTTTAAACTTTGGTATTATATGCTCCTACTTCCTTCTTTCCCCCAAATCCCAGCCAGTGTATTCCTTCTCCCTAAGTCAGACCTCACTTTTCTAGCTCCCCAGTAAAGCACTTGTTTGATTCCATGCCATATGTAACACAAGAGCAGAACACAACTATTGCAGCCTCTTTTCTGTACAAAATGCAGCTGCTCAACCTGTCATCTGATTCTTGAATTGCTAACACATTTTCAAGCTGAGCCCCACCGGCTGTTGCATCCACTTTAAGCTTCCTACTTAGCTCTGTGTACCCATGTACCCGCTTCCAGCTTTCCTGAGTTGGTTTGAGTCCTGCCTTCTTTTGTGCAACCCCCTGTGTGGTATGATCACGTGGGCCACCACTCTGCAAAGCCTTTCCTCTAAGTCCTGCTTCCGAGGAGTGCCCTTCACTAAAACAAGCTGACCTGCTACTGCGTTATACAGAAGGTTGCACTGCTGTTTTCTGTCCTTCTCAGCTTTGCCTCCCTGGTGTCTGTTTTGAAACTGTCACCTCTGCGAGGGAAAGCTTCCGACTCTCCAGAGTACCTAAGAAGTAAATGCTTTGTATTGGGAGAGTCAGTTGTTGCCCCTTGTAATACCTAATGCAGGCATTACCTTGTTTGTACGGCTTATTGGATGGATCCCTTAAAATGGAAAAGGAAAGAAAGTTCTTCAGGTACAGGGTTTCTGCCCATCAGTCTACAGTTAAACAGTGTCTTAGTGACTCTGTTTTTCCTAAGATACACTTTCATTTTCTCAGCCTTTTAAGTCAAAGTTGTATAATCTGACAGGACACTGTAGTCCCATGTGGTGTTACTCATGAGTACAAGCAACAGGCTTAGTTCTTCTGATTAAAAAAGTAAAATGTATTTTTTCAGGATTCAAGAAGCTTAGAAATCCATATATTCCCATTAACAGTTAAACAAACCAAACTATTATCCCCTGCCTACCTGATATTGCATTACATTTAAGCCTAGGTTTCTTTCTCCTTGCTGGTGAACACCTCTGATATGAAAACACTGGAGATCAAAAGGACTGACTTGTACTTAAAGAGATACAGCAATGTTTCTGTGCTTCAGTCTTGCTTAAAAGTTGCCCCAGTTGCACTACGATACTGTGGTTATTGCTTTGCTCAAAAAAAGGACAGCACATGAATCATGAGAGTCTTCTCTTATCTTTCTTTGACATTTCACAAAACACCTTTGCAAACATATGCAAAACACCTTTGCATGTTTCTCAGTGTTCAAGCATGCTTTGGTGCAAGTGAAAATACTAAAGACTTTCTCAAACTTGTTCAGAACACATCTGTTCCTTTCTCCTTTTCCAGGGGACCCATGATATGAGGTAATGGATGACAGGTATGGTGAAGGGCAGAGGGCAAAAACTTGGTCCCTTAAAGATATATTTTGCGTTATATAATTGACCATAGTTTCTCTATCTGCAGTATCTCACTTTCAGAGTATGCACTTTTGTAATGAACTATTTCTTCTGCATGATGAAACAACATTTATCACAGGGGATTTCAGATCGTGCCTGGGATCTCAAGGTGCTACAAAAATACCAGTGTGAAGGGTGTGTTACAGTATAGTTGGGAGCTGGTTGTATGAATTTCAGCCCAAATTTTTTCTGATACAATAAACACTTTAAAACATGCAAAAGGAAGTAAAACTTTCTATATTTTGGGTAGTAGTAGATATACTCTTTTTTTTTCTACTGAGATATTTCAGTGATATCTGAAATGCTAAAATAGCAGGTCAGTTTTGCTCTGATGAAGGGTTTTATAGGTTTTTAAAAATTTCTACCTACGTTACACCTGAGTTTCCAGAAAAGTAGCAGAATTAAGCAGAATTAAGAAAGATGAAAATGGGAGAAGAGATTTGAGCTAAAAAATTACAGTATTAACCATACAAACCACTGAAATTGTAGGTTGAAATCCAAGAAAAGGCAGAGAAGAAGCAAAAGGAAAAATTATGTTGGCTTCAGGAGCAGCTGAAGACAAAAGAAGAAGAAGTAAAAAGCCAGTCAGAGTATTTTGAGCACTACAAGCAGAGGCAGAAGCAACAGACAGCAGCGCTGAGAGAAAGGGAATGTTACCTCCAGGGTAAGGTGTCTAGGCTGGAAAAGCAAGTCCTAGATCTCAGCACCCATATTGCTCTTCTGACATCCAAGTTAGAAGAAGGAATGGTACAGTATCTCCAACAGAAGCTGGAAGCAGCATTCACTGGGATTCAGGGCAATATACATCCTGACAGGGAGGTAACAAAATTGAAAACTTTCATTGAAATTGTGGAGCATGACATGAAAAGCCACCTTGAGATATTGCAGCATAATCTGAATCTCTTAAGGGAAAAAGAGGAAGGCAATAGAAGAGAACAAGCAGACTTGCTGACTAAACTTCAGTGCTCCCAGGACTCTGAAGACTTTCTCAGAAGGAAATTGGAGGAATCTTGCCATCATGTTTATGATCTGAAATTATCTGAAATCAAACTGCAGGAACAAATCAAAGAGCTTTTGAATGAAAATAGGGCTTTAAAGGACCAAGGGGACCTGAAGTTAAAAAAAGAAGATGAAAAAGACTCATGTCTTGCAAGACTGGAGAATGGAGACAACATTGCAGTCGGTGTAGACCTGGTAAGTAAAAGGAAGGCCAAGTATAATTAACTTTTATCTTTGTATCATAGTGGATTACAATTATTATTAGGTGTGCAATGGAAATTTAAGTGTGTATTTATTACTGTATTGGTTTCCTTTATTTCTCTTGATGTACTAGAACTTAGTAGAGTCTGATTCATTGAAAAATCACTGAAATCAGTGCTAGAATTTCACTGACGTCGGTGCTTTTGATTAGGCGTGCACTGAGGGCACTTCACAAATCTCGATTCCTTAAGATTTTAAGTGATATGCCAAGGCCATAGCTTTAGGTCAGCACCAGAAGTAATAACCAGAACTTCAGAGACCTCTGCCTCAAGGACACCATTCAGTGCAGGAGTGCACGTTTGGCTGGGTGGGTTTTCACATCTTATTTATGCATGGATGCTGAAGAAAAAAGGGTAACTGACAAATCTTGTCAATGAGATTTTCAGGGTAGTGGAAGAGAAGAGAAGATAGATACAGTATTCACCACTGGGAGTGTGTTGAGATATTCAGTGGTTCACAGTTCCAAAACATTGTGATGTGCTCTGAATGTGTTGAATAGAACTTGTTTGTTTCAAACACTTCACTTCAGCATGGCATGGGAAAGCTCTGCATATGCTCTAGCATGGTATTCAGCTTCTGCCAATACATTTTGCTGACAAAGAACAATTCATTTCACAGAGAGGACTCAAACAAAGTTTTTTTTTTAATGCACTATGATGGGGGGTTATTTTTCTTCTGAAGATTTGTTAGATAAAGTGAAATCAGCTTAACCTCATTCTTAGCTACCCTACTCAGATTGTGACCTGGTATCTCAAGGTCTCTCCATTTTGTAACTGCAGCTAGCTGGGAGATAATGAATATATATATAAACCCTTTAGTATGGGAGATCAATCACACTGTGAGTTCTTCCCCAGAACTGGGAGTTGATAAAGGCCTAGAAGAAATCAAGACAAAGTTTTTAACCTGGCGCTTGAAGTCAGCTTTACAGACAAAGTGATTCTGTACCATTTGTGACTCTCTAGTACCAAAAAAGTGAGCTCTATGATGTTATCTTTGTGTATGAGAGGAAAAATGGTGAGATCCTTCTGCAGAAACCTGTAGCACGTAGGTGCACAGTTGACCTTCGTACAAGTGTGCCTCACCACGTATTTCTCTATAACTGCTCTGAGGTGGCAGAGGAACTGACTGTTGCTGCTAATTTTTAGACTTAGCCTGAGTCATTGCTATGATTACTTTACCTAGTGAGTTCCCTTTTTCTTGGGTGTGAAAAAAATGGTTTGAAAATTGCACAAACTTGAGATATCTTTAGAGGGACTTGAATTGTACATGGAAACAATGACCAACTGCAACATGAGAACCAATGACCGCTATAAGGGGACTGCCTAACTAAAATAGAGGGGTGTGAGGGCTTTCAGTCCCAGAGCAGGAAAGTAGGTAGTGGAGAGTTATTATAATTTGGGAAAAATGAGAAGGGGGGAAAGTAAGTGTTGAGTTATCTGAAGCTGTGAAACCAAGATATACCTGACATTACTGAAGAGGAACCCAGAAAGTCTTCAGGAGACAGAAGGAGACCAAATCACTTTCATTCTATGCTGAACCATAATGAAAGGTTATTTTTATCTCTCCCCAAAATTTTCTAACCATTTCTTTGTTCAAGTATTAATCTACATATCTGTCACTGTAGGAGGATACTGAATCTTAATTACGGAGTTTTTGGTATAAGTGAACATGCCATAATTCTTGTTAAACCAGTATATTTTCTTCTGATGCGCACTCAGTTTTGTTCCTTAAATACTGTGCATAACATCACCAGCAGTAGACCTTGGTGTTTTCTGCATTGCTGGTTGTATTTTCCTTCTCTTTTGCTAGCGCTATGAATTGGATTATTCTAGCAAAAAATAGTGGTTTGAGAGCCTAAGGAAAAATTCAGTATCCATAGTAAAAGGAGAAGGGAGACCTCTGGTGTTGTATGGTGAAACTGAAGAGGTTTTTCCCTCTTTGTCCTGTATTTTAGTATCACCTATAATCTCGTTACATTGATCTTGTAGTATTTAAACCAAAACAGTTACAAGAAAAATCCTATATAAGCTCACCGTATTCCACCAGCAGCAATAAAAATGAAGAACAGTGTGCAGTCTAAGGAGGATTTTCATGCTGATACTTTTCTGGATAGCTGCTGGTATATCAATTTTCACTAAAAGGGTGAATGGGATCATTTGTCTGTTCCCCAGTCAGGAAAAAAGCAGTTTGTGAAGGCAGGATTGCTAGATCCCTGTGAAATATATATGGTATGAAATTGCTCAGCAGATACTATGTCATTCAAATGACAAGCACATCAATTATTCTTGAAACTAGCCTTAGTCGTTATTGTGTTTTCAAGCATTATTACTAGATCCAATTAGGTGTCATGCTCTGGTCCTGCAGAGGTGAACTGCATCTCATGGAGGGATTTAGTCACATAAATCTCGTTGGAAATTAGTTTCCAAAATTGGCAGCAGGTCCAGGTCTGCAGTGTTCCATTTGCAGCCTATGCCTGAATAAAAAATAAAGGAAAACGGAACTGGTAGCATGTGTCTGTGTCTTAATTTGTCAGCCAGTTTCTAAATGTATCCAAATTTAATCAGTGGCAGAGGAAAGAAAGATGTCAAGCAACACAATATGAAATTTACAGTTAAGTTATAGATTGAAAAGAAAAAATTATTCTGAAGGAGTATTCTACTTGTTACATAGTGCTTTTCCTCTCTAGGAACACCTTTATGGCCTTCACAGTGCCGGGCATTGAACAATCAAAGTCTCACTCCCTTCTTGATTTCTTTGTTTCTCTTCGCTTATGGTCATGTCATTTAGTCTGTGCCCTGCTAGTGTTCCATCTGTAACATAACACATATATGTTACTGGGATTTTCTTCCCTAAGTATTTGTGAAGCATGAAGAAAACATTAGGGTGAAATTTAAAACCAAGACACTTAAAAAATATGTATGTTGGAATGGGAAAATTCTATAAACTAATAGCAATATTAACAAAATAATGGGTGTTTTGAATGTAAAATAGCAAAGGACGTTTAGATGCCTATTTGTGATACCACAAACACTGTACGTTTATAATCTGTTTTTCCTTTTCCTCCTTTTCCTGTTAAGAATGGAGAGCTAGTCGAAGATGACCTTCAAAACCTGAAATGGGGACCAGTCTCAGATCCAGTCCGAAGCAAAGCTACACAGACTCCAACTGTGCTACTGCGTGCTGAAAAGTCTGGTATGAAAACAAGCTGGAATTTTGATTTAGTTTCTGTGCAGTAAAAGTGAAGATATTTTCATTCATGTGATGCACATTACTAAGAAGGTAAAAGACCTTCCAAAAACCTTCTAATCTGGAACCTAGAGCTTGAGAGGGTGAATGAATTACTATTCACCTGCCTGACACTAGCATTTAGATACGAGTTCTCTCTGGAAATCCTAAGACTTCCAAGAAGCTAGAGAGATGAGTAAGTAGGGGACGCATCTTCTATGTCCTGACTGAAACAATACTGTAGTTCAGTGTTTGGAAATACTGTGCACCTAGGGAATTTGTCTTTCAGACCAAATATAACAACAAATCTGAATCTGATCTCAACAAATTCTATCAGACTAATTCTTCCTGCTG